ATAGGTATCCATATATAAGAGATATTATTTTGCATTACATTTAAACATGTTTTTCTGTCCTGTTTGTCTGTCAATTGTTGCTTTACTTCCTTTGTAAAATGAAGTTAAATTGAGTATCACTGAATATTGTATGCTTTTTTTCAGGATCAGCTAAGATGTTGTTTCACTGGATTATTTAATTGGGTATATAATTGGATAATTCTGGTAAGTTTGTCTTTGTTTTGTTTACATTTCCTATGAAGGTCATCTTTGCATTTAATCATAATCATAATCATGATCAGCTGAAATGTTATTTCACTGGATTATTTAATGGATAGACTTATTGGGCATATAATTGGATAATTCTGGTAAGTTTGTCTTGTTTTTTAGATTGTTTACATTTCCTATGAAGGTCATCTTTGCATTTAACCATGATTATATGGTTAATTTAATTACTGTGTAATTGATCTGTTGTCTCTAACTTACATTCATATAAGCACACCCTTATTTAACCTAAAATATATTAACACACGATTAAGGGATCTTCAGAATATTAATAAGTCCTTTTGTATAAATGATGATATAATTTCATAATACATTATGTATGTTACCCATGGAATTAAGAATTACTAAATGGTGATCAAAGAGATATTAATTAGGAATCTAATAAGAGAAAAGGAGGAATTTACAAAAGATTAATTCTAATAGTCATTTACTTTTGTTTTGATTCTAATTATGTGTTATATATGGCATACATATATTTTCATTTTCACTTTTGTTTCTTAGTAATGAGCTTTTCCAAAAATTAAGGACTATACATGTTGTACTGTGATGATGCTAAAAAAAAAAATTGTTATATAACATGAGCTTGATTGAATTCTAAATATAGACAAAAAGGGTATAAATACAAGTTGTAACATAAGATTTTTATGAATAAAGTGTCATGCTCCAAGGTATTATTTTTATAAACAGGAGAAGGTTTACAGCAGTCCCATACACTCAAAAGAAGATCTTGGGTAGTAGAAATACCAGGAAATTTTATTTCCACACAATCAGATCATCTTACATCAGTTATAAGGTTACAATCTTTATACATAGTCAAGAGGGTTATTAACATTTCTTTTCTGGTCATCCTGATGTGCTACATTATAGTATTCTTTCCCTGTGACATAATGTTAATATTAAATGGGAAATTCAGAATTCATCAGCAATTGGAGTCAAAACTTCTTATCTTTACCAACTATGCTATTAGGGAAGCTGGGGGTTAACAAATTAGCCATATTTAACTTATTCTATAGATATTTTATCTTCAGCTGTTAACTATCATTTGGCAAAGAAAAATTTCATACATTTTAGTTTTAAAATTTGATCATGCATTTTTGTATATGTCTTGATATGGAGCTCTTCTTCTTCTTCTAAAGGAGATCAATATAGTCTAAACATGACCATGACCACCAAGCCCTCTTTATTTAAAACAAAAAATCATATATCATTTACTTATCAATTCAAAAATATAAACATGCATATGTAAAATAAATAAATAAATAAAAATTACAATTGTATCTCATTGAAACTTTACCTTCAAGTTTGTTTGTTTCTTTGTTGGTTGACTAACTGTGTATTTCCAAAGGAAGAGCAGACAGTCTGAATGGATTATAGATGGTTAGGAACAATACATATCTTCCATGTTGAGGACTGTATAGAAAATAAAACCATTTTGTTAATATGACAGAGTACTGTGTGAAACAATGCATGTTTAAAAATTGAACAAACATGTACAATGCCAAAAAAAGTTCATGAAAATGTTTGTTTTTAATCTCAAAACAAATTGTTTTTAACATTAACTCCAGATGAGAAAAGTTCATCATGTTATCTTTAGATAGTAAAAAAAAAGCACAATTACTGTATTGATATCACAAATAAAATGATTATCAAATTATTTATTTAAACACTAACAGACTTTTTATTAACAGCAGATTCAATTTTGGTTTAATACCAGTCAGTACTGCATACAGAAAAATACATTTTTTTTTAGCATCATCACAGTACAACATGTATAGTCCTTAATTTTTGGAAAAGCTCATTACTAAGAAACAAAAGTGAAAATGAAAATATATGTATGCCATATATCACACATAATTAGAATCAAAACAAAAAGTAAATGACTATTAGGATTGATCTTTTGTAAATTCCTCCTTTTCTCTTATTAGATTCCTAATTAATATCTCTTTGATCACCATTTAGTAATTCTTAATTCCATGGGTAACATACATAATGTATTATGAAATTATATCATCATTTATACAAAAGGACTTATTAATATTCTGAAGATCCCTTAATCGTGTGTTAATATATTTTAGGTTAAATAAGGGTGTGCTTATATGAATGTAAGTTAGAGACAACAGATCACATAAGTATTACACAGTAATTAAATTAACCATATAATCATGGTTAAATGCAAAGATGGCCATCATAGGAAATGTAAACAATCTAAAAAACAAGACAAACTTACCAGAATTATCCAGTTATATGCCCAATAAGTCTATCCATTAAATAATCCAGTGAAATGTAATTTCAGCTGATCCTGAAAAAAAAAATCATACAATTCAGTGATACACAATTAACCTCATTTTACAATGTAAGTAAAGTAATAATTTACAGACAAAAGGGACAGAAATGTAAAAGATGGCATGTATTTTACCAAAATTTAGTGAATATTTTTCTGATTTAAATTCAATATCATGGAATGACCCATCATAGAAATATTAAATGCACTCTGAGTTACATGCAGGTTATACATGTACAAGTGTAAATCACATGAAATGAGGATAAATACAGTACATTTACATTCAAAACAGAACTTTACATAATTATGATTAAATGCAAAGATGACCTTCATAGGAAATGTAAACAAAACAAAGACAAACTTACCAGAATTATCCAATTATATGCCCAATTAAATAATCTAGTGAAACAACATCTTAGCTGATCCTGAAAAAAAGCATACAATATTCAGTGATACTCAATTTAACCTCATTTTACAAAGGAAGTAAAGCAACAATTGACAGACAAACAGGACAGAAAAACATGTTTAAATGTAATGCAAAATAATATCTCTTATATATGGATACCTATACTCTAATCAATCATATTAAATGTCATTCGTAAAATGTATTTTTTAAGACAGATTTATTTAGGATCGACTTTTTAAATGATAACATGAATAGCACGCCATACTTTAACCACATGTCAAAACATTCTCTCAAATTACACAGAAATGGGTTATTTAGCATAGCTGACATTAAACATATAGGTGAGCGATAACATAATCACAATCATAAACAATGTGAAACAACTTTAAACGACCTACACTGTGGATTACAAGCCTTTTTCACTGGGGTAAAATCCTGCCGAAATTCGCCATGGCCGCCCGAAACCCCGAACCCGACTGTATAAAAGATGAAGTCATACAATAACATAACACTGATGTAGTATTACATGATTTTTTTATTTTATTTTTTAAAAACTATAAGGGGAGTTTACCAAAAAAAAAATTAATAAGAAAAAAAAATTTAAAGTTATTTTAAAAAAGTTAAAAAAAATTTATAAGTTTTTAAAAAAAAAAAAAGTTTAAAAAATTTAAAAAGAAATTCTAAGTTTTTTAAAAAAGTGACCTGGTGTTATAACTTGACAGACATAACACACACATGTTTTTTGTATTGTGTGTTATTTGTTATTGTCTTTCAGTAAAAAAATCAGTTCAAACCGGTTAGGCTGGCTAGACTAGGCTGTCTAGACTGTAAATGAAAAAGTGTGACGTCATAATCACATTGTATTTATACAGTGAATGACGTCACAATGCATAGGTAAGTTTTATCGTACTTTTTGCACACGGCACTTTATAGATGATGCAAGAGGAATATAAGGAAACACAGGTAAAAGGTATATTTCTTTTGCACACGACCCTAATTTTTTTTGCACACGGCACTTTACAGGTGATGCAAACAGGTATAAAAACGCAGGTTAAACGTATTGATGACACGGCCCTTACAGTAAAGGTATATAAACCACATAATGACATTCTTGACTCGTTGCCAAAAAATCGTAGTAGCAACATTGTGAATCGTAGTAGCAGCGTATAGTAAAAAACTATATACAGTGTAAACACAGTGTAAGTGGACCCCTGTATTTAAGGGAAATAGGTTAGGGTTAAAAGGGGTTAGGAATAGAGGCCTAAGGGGAAATTAGGGATAGTTAGGGTTAGGGGATAGGGTTAAGAGAAAATAGGGTTAGTTTCACTTTTGTTTCTTGGTAATGAGGTTTTCAAAAAATGAAACTAGACTGTGAATGAATGCGTGACGTCATAATCACATTCTTGTAATGTTTTTTGCACACGGCCCCAAAGTATTATACCTGTATAGTTTAGCATAAACAAAACGTAGTACCAACGTATTGTGTATAATGTAAACACAGTGTAAACACCCAGTATTTAAGGGGGACTATATGTAATGAATTAACCCACCTATCCCCCCCCCCCCAAATCTACACTCTCCTGACCCAGCTATCCCCCAGGGGGACTGTACTGAGTTGATCCGGCTATCCCCCAGGGGATGCACTCAGTTGACCCGGTCATCCAGCCTGCTTCCGGCTAGGACATTTCTGGCTAGCCCACTTCCGCTTCCGCTAGGCCCACTTCCGCTTCCGCTAGACCACTTCCGGCCACTTCCGCTTCCGCTAGCCCACTTCCGGCCACTTCCGGTTAGCCCACTTCCGGTTCCGGTTATGACGTCACTTCCGCACTAGCTAGACCCCTTATACTACTTATGTGCAATTCTGTAATATATCGAATTTCAATTTTGATAACGTTTAATTCCTTCTGTTGTTTTTAGTACCAGTTAGATAAACATAATCATATTGTTCATATTAATCTTATTTTTATCGAACTTACTGAGAAAGCTTTATGAAGAAAAAAAAATTGATAGTCATTTTAATGCTTCACTTCATTTTTTTGTACATGTACTTTCATATTATAAATTAGCTCAAGTTCCGGTTCCTCTTTGTTCCTCTCTTGATTTGTCTCCTAACAATGGAGCATACAGAATCAAGATTTATTAGAGGATTCTACCTGCCCCCCGATAACCCCCAACCAACCAGTGCAGTGGGAACCGGAGCAAACAGCCAATCCGCCCAAGTGGCAAGAACCAGAGAAACCAGAGAAACAAATGCAAAGAGAGCAGAGAATTTCGGAGCCGTTGCTATCGCCTTAGATGTCGCATCGAGAGTTCTTGATGATATTGCAAGATCTAGAGCAAGAGTCACCTCGAAGAGATCAACAGAGAATGTATGTGTGAAAATTTTAACATTAATTTTTAATCTAACTTTTGAAAATAAATATATTGTTCAGATTTGGAAAATACATCACAAAAATGGCAACTTTTGATGACGTTTTGACGCACTGGAGAGCCGTAAAGTTTTTTGTAGATAACATGTATGTCATGACACTTTACAGACTTTTGATGCTAACAGAAGATTAAAAGTATTTATCTAAAGTGTTACAAGGAGCGCATGTGTACATGTAGGCTGTATTATAGTATCTCTGAAGATTTAATTATATCATAAATCATTATTATTTTCTTTTTATTTTGTTAATTCAACTAACCCCGAAAAAGAGAAAGATTCCACTTTCAGGATTTCGTAACATTCAAAAAGTGTCCAAACCTGCTAAAATGAATTTGTTTGATGCTTATATCAGGTTTGACCAAATCTGACTTTTATGACTTCTTAGAAATGAACGAACTTAACACTTTCTATTCTTAGCAGTAACGAATTTTGAACACTTAAAAAAATAATTGTGTTTTTAAATTCACTTTTTGAGTGGCTGAAAAATTAGATTATCTTGTATAACCTCTATTGACTACGTCACAATGACTTGCGTCAAAATTCAATCTGTTCAAGGCGTTACATTTAAAAATTGATTTTTTTGTGAGCGTGACCGGTCGGCAAGAGATGCCCCCTTCATGGCCCCTGATCCGATTTCTGGTGATTTGAAGGGCCGTATTTAATATGTTCCTATTGTAATCGTAATTGTACTGTTTCATGGACTTTTGAGCTCGAATACTGTTCTTTATTTCCACATATTTCATTGCACAAGTTTTGTCTAATACATATATATGTTTTGTTTATATGTTTTGATCAATTTTTACAGCTAAAGAGATATTATTGAAAAAAAATGTTGGAAACGTTAGAATTTAATTTTTTTTTTTCCCTTGGAAATGAGTGTAGACCTTATGCCACTCACTTAATGATACCGTTCGCAAGGACAGACGTGGACAAATTTCGAACAGAAAGGCTTACTTGAGTTTCGATTACGGTGAAATAGATTTAAAAATGAGGGAGCATATGCAAATAATGTTATATCGTTTATGAATAATTTTTCTAAAGGTAGTTCCTGATATAGATATCTGTAACTACAACCTGCTTGATTTGAACGATGACAACAGCGTTACCAAGGAAGAACTGGATATTCTGATTCAAAGCACAGGACGAGTGGAATTGGAGGAACTATATGAAAGCCTGGACCAGAATAATGGTGGGTTCCATTAACAAAGTTTTCTTTATTTACATCAAATGCTCGTACTTTTATTATTAAATATTAAAGTCAGTCGACATGTTCTTCGAAAATGTATAATTTTTTCCCAGAATTTGTCGCTGAATTATTGCTACTTAAACAAGTTAGATGGGGAATAGTACCTTTCTCACAAAAAAATGAAGAACCGGACCAGACATTTAGTAGATACCAGAGGATGTAATTTCTTATATAATTCTTATGGTTAATCTTTGGAATTGCCAATTTACAAGTTTTGGTGTATTCATATTTTAAAACATATTGAAAACAATGTAGAAATCACAAGAGGAAAACAATATGAATATTTTGTTATAATACCTAGGTTTACAGAACATATGAATGAGAACATGCCATCTGACCTTAACAAAGGAACAATTATTACATATATGTCATCCAAGAATTTTCTTCGGAATTCTTTTTATTTTAATTTTTCTCTAAATTGGTGTTATTATAATTGCACATTGTATAACTTACGTTTTACCAAAATTTAGCAACGATCGAAATTGTTTCTGTTTTAAAAGTAATAATGAGAGTTTGAAAAAGTTCTTTAATTTATGTCACTGTGAACGCAGATTCATATGTAATTTCTTGAATTATAGCTTTGTCCGCCAAAAGTTTTGGAGATATTTATGATAGATTTTTTTTCATGTTTTTGTACAACCAATAATTTTGAAACTTTATATAATTAAAGGATTCTTTCTCTATTGTGTATGAAAAGGAATGGCATCAGATAAATGAAAATTGTAATTTTCGCTGTAAAAAACAAATGGTTATTCTGTTTTTGAGTCAAGTATAGCAGCGTTTGGCTTAGTTCGATTTGACATACTGCTTGCAGTCGATTCATTTTCCTGGTATTTAAAGAATTATTTTTATGATATAAATTAGATATAAGCATCAATTAGTTTCTCTTCAAAGATTTGTCAAATAAAGAATCTGATCCAAATCCCATGAAAACAAAATGATTCAGAATTTGCTAATAATTTATTGAATTTCAAAAAAAAAAAATTAAGAACTATTTAAGTAATAATAAAAAAAAATCATGAAGGATTCCTGTCAAATCTTCTTTGTATATATATATTTTTTTACTTATTGTCCTTTAGAAAAAGAAAGAGCTACCGTTAGGAAACAAAATTATACATGTGAAAAATCATTTATAAGGTTTAAAAAATGACCATATTCACATCTTAGGAAATGAAGGCGATTTCTTTCGCAATGATGAAATCTTAAATGATTGTTTCTTTTTTTCCTTCACAGACGGTATAGTAGCACAGGAGGAGTACATGAAATTGTATGAAGATATCTGCAATGGAGATTTGGAAGGTCGGTTTATCTCGTTTGTATAATCTCTTACCTTTTGATGTTTTTTTTTTTTAAATTTAATTTTGAATAATGAATAATTTTAAATTTTGATCTGAAACATTATAACATTTTATTGGTTATATACTTCGTTAATTTTATTCCCCAAAAGGGAGGGGGGGGGGCATTTTTTGGACCTGTCGACCGGTCGGTCTTTTGGTCATTTTACTAGTGCCCAGCTTTGTCTTTGCTGTAAGACAAATTCTTCGTCAGTCTTGCCTTCTTCATTAAGTTAAAGACTTTTTTCATGATTCATGTTGATTTCTAGATTACAAAGTAAAATATAATTGGTCAAATGATACAGTATTTTGACACGTGCTGTAACTAGGGGCTCAAACAGTATTTTATACCATTTGCATTATATACTAGCTACTACGTGTAGTACTTCAAATGTTATTCCTTCCAAGAAGTAAATTACCATTAATAACATTGAAGTCTGAATGGGATAAAACATTATTTGCATCATGTTTATCCCGACTTTAAGATGACCACTTGATTTAAGCATTTATATTGACATTTCATACTGCAACACCAGGAGCATATAAAGTTTCTCAATATTTTAGGAGCAGATACCCAACAAAAGGACGAATAAGAAGTCAGCTGAAGGACACAAATTAGAAAATTATTGGAAGATTTTCAAAGTTCAAGTTTTTGCTTAAATGAAATATTTTTATTCTTCAGAATAAATTTAGAACATACTGCCTAGTTTGTATATCTTTCATATATAAAGCAATACCCATATACATGTACATCCCGCTATTCCTTTAGAATTATGCCTTTATGATCCTTTAGAGTCAATGAAAGTAGTAATAGATTACTGTGCTTATCCATTAGAATATTTCATACCATATATTCCCATTTTATTTTCTTCATTTTTTTTGTCACCTGAATCGCTTCGATAACCAATTGTTTTCTGTTTTGATCTTTCGTCGTTCGTCGGTCTTGAATTCTTGAATATATTTTCATAATTATATGTTGCTGGATTAAATTAAACTAATTTTTGTAAACAGCATTTAAGGATATAGAGAAACAATAAATTTAAATTTTGTATTCTCTGTCATTATGAGGCATGAAAAATTGGCCAAAACTATCAATAATTTCCTTAACGTTTGGACATTTAGAGGAAGAACCAAATTTTTTTGCAATACTGTATGTTACAAAATTGTAACAAGCACTAAATCATCTGCAAAAGTGTCAAATGACATAAGATTCAACCCATTGATAGGGCTAATACGGTAAGTATTGAAAAATACAACTTTGAAACTCTTCTTCTTTCTTCACAAACATGTCTCAGACAAACAGTCTGCAAGATGGCAATGTCTACTTTACCTATTACCAAATTCTCACAAAAATCTTCTTTATTCCCAGACTTTAAGGAGACAATCTTCATTCACATGGTAATGAATACAGAGTCCTCACCATTTTTAATTTTTTAAGTCACATTAATCTGAGTTACCAAGGTGACTGTTAAGACCCATAGGCCTCTCTATATATGCATGTTAATTGAAAAATAAGTTTTTACAAAAGAAATTATTTTTTGTTATTAATTGCCTTTAGAGGAAGTTGATAAATATACTTTTCGTATACATATGTTAAAAATTTGGTGGTATATAAATGTAATGAGTGTTTCTAAAGATGAAAACGCACGGCAAAACTGGAAAATCCTATTTCGTGCGGGGGAAGGGGGGGGGGTGTTGTTACTTCTTTGAAGATTAGAAGCAGAAAATAGTCATTTTATTACCAATTGTTTTTCAAATAGGAAAACAAATAAAAAAAATACACAATGTACTTTATCAATCGCATATATTGAATATAACATAAGATAAAAAATATGGGTCATTTAATCTATTTAATTTTACCAGGGTGACCCTCTTGGAAAGAAATGTCCTGGATCCGCGCCGGTTTTTCCTTCTTCTTTTTTTTTGTGAAAATTCACATAAATATCAAATAAAAATAAAATATATTCAAGTTTGTGTGGCAGTTGACAGTAAGCAGCTGACAGTTGGCAGTAAGCAGTCAGCAGTTGGCAATAAGCAGTTGGTTGTCGTATATGGAATTCTATAGGTTTTCACTGGAAAACATGAAAGAAATTTGTGTTAAATCTGCCCCCGTCCTTTAGAAATTTTTTTTAATACCTTTAACCCTGTAAACCTTGAGTAATTTCCAAATTACAATGCACCACTGTTTACATTTCATTTTTCCTTTAAAACTATTTGAAGTTACATCTAAGGTTAACAAAAACACATTTTTGTCATGGTCGACCGGCCGCATAAATTATACATGTACAAAACAATCTTTTGAAGATATATACCACAACTTTGGGATTATCAATTTTTACAATAAGTCTTTGCAAAATTTGTAAGAAAAAATAATTGTAAAGATGTGGAACCATCTAATTGTGTAGTACTTTGTGTAGCGATCTGGTTGGGGCTTATCAAAGATCTAATTTTAATTAGGTCTTAAAATCGATAGATCTCAAGTCAATTGTATGAAAAATACTAAAAAGTGTTGGTCCATACAACCAATAGAGAAGTTTGTGTCAGTTTGTATAAAATGGTATAATATGACTTAAAGATCAAATGGGACAGGTAGAGTGCAAAGTGTTAACTTCCATTAATGAACATGATGAAATATAACATATGTATCTATATGATAGACTAAATTCTTGTATGCACAATGACACTATCCTACATTGTCAATGATCATCTGAGAAAAAAATTACAATAATTTTTTTCAATTGGTGTATGAAATTAAAACCAGTTCCGTATAAAAAGAATTGACTTTCTTAACAGCAAGGGGTATTAACATATTCATGAATGAGTCGGGATCGTGTTTCAAATAATTCTTGAATGTAAACACTGTCCCTTTCACAACACGTGGAGTATTTGAAATTCTTGGGTTATTTGGTGAGTAGTAGCAGTCTACTGTTGTTTATCTGATAACATTCGACTGCTAACTTTTC